CAACTCCTTGTGTTTTAGGTTATTGTCCTGCTGAAAGGTGAATTTGTCTCCCAGTGTCTGTTGGAAAGCACACTGAACCAGGTTTTCCTCTAGGACTTTGCCTGTGCTTAGCTCTATTCTGTTTATTTTTATCCTAAAAAGACTCCCTAGTCCTTGCAGATGACAAGAATACCCATAACATGATGCAGCCACCACCATGCTTGTAAATATGAAGAGTGGTACTCAGTGATGTGTTGTGTTGGATTTGCCCCAAACATAACGCTTTGTATTCAGGACATAAAGTTCCTTTCTTTGCCACATTTTTTGCAGTTTAACTTTGTATTTGTATTTATCAAGGATCCCCATTAGTTCCTGCCAAAGCAGCAACTACTCTTCATTGGGTCCAAACAAACTATGGCAAAAATTTTATAAAACAGTACATATAACATTATTACACCACTACATATCTAAAATACAACATGTATAATACCACCATACTGTCACACCCTGGCTCTGGGACTCTATATGTTGAGCCAGGGTGTGTTCATTCATTGTGTTCTGTTTCTTTGTTTGGGTGTTCTAGGTTGTCTGTTTCTATGTTTGCCTGTGTGACTCCCAATCAGAGGCAACGAGTGTCAGCTGTCGGCTGGTTGTCTCTGATTGGGAGCCATATTTTACTGTCTGTGTTTCACTTTGTGTTTGTGGGTTTTTGTTCCGTGTCGGTATTTGTTTACCGTGGACTTCACGAGTCGTGTTTTGGTATACTTTAACTAATTAAAGTCATGTTTGTTTCACACGCTGCGCCTTGGTCTACTCACTCCTACGACGATCGTGACAGAAAAACCCACCATACCAGGACCAAGCAGCGTGTCCAGGAACACACGCAGGAGGTGACTCTTGTGGATGTCCTCCTCGGTTGGGGGCAGATTACTGAGGAGGAGGCCGTCCGGTACCGGAAGGCGATAAAGGGGGAGACCCAGGCAGGAGAGGAGCAGCGGCGCCAAACGGGTCAACGTCAGACAGGCGAGAGGCAACCCCAAGACATTTTTAGGGGGGGGCACACGGCATGGGCGACTGGGCAGCAGGAGGCTGCCACAGGGCGTAATGGGAGACGAGGAGAGAAGGCCACCGGGTTACGGGAGCCATTGGCGAGAGGAGGGAAGGAAGTTGTAGAGGCACGGCGAGAGGTACTGAGGTGTATTGCCAGTCCGGTCCGGCCCGTTCCTGATCCTCGTTTAAGGCCAGTGGTGTGTGTTCCCAGTACGGTCCGGCCTGTTCCTGCTCCACGCACCAAGCCTACGGTGTGCGTTGCCAGCCCTGTCCGGCCTGTCCCTGCTCCACGCACCAAGCCTACGGTGTGCGTCGACAGCCCAGCCCGGCCTGTCCCTGCTCCACGCACCAAGCCTACGGTGTGCGTCGCCAGCCCAGCCCGGCCTGTCCCTGCTCCACGCACCAAGCCTACGGTGTGCGTCGTCAGCCTGGTCCAGCCCGTTCCTGCCACTCGCACCAAGCCAGGGGTGCGAGTCGTCAGCCTGGTTCAGCCCGTTCCTGCTACTCGCACCAAGCCCGGGGTACGAGTCGTCAGCCTGGTAAGGCCCGTCGCTGCTCCACGCACCAAGCCTAGGGTGCGAGTCGTCAGTCCGGCACAACCCGTGCCTGGGTCATCGGTGCCAATTCAGGTACCTCTCAACTGCTCCACTAAGGAGCTGAAGCCTACCGCCCCTGCTACGTCCAGTCCAGCTCCAGCCAGCGGGGCCAGACCGGACCAGGGGCGCTATGGGGGGTTTGTTGGAGTGTGGTGGGCAAGGCCGGAGCCAGAACCGCCGCCGAGGAGGTATGCCCACCCAGCCCTTCCCTGTTTAGCTCTTATTGAGGCGCGGACGCAGTCCGCGCCTTTAGGGGGGGGGTACTGTCACACCCTGGTTCTGGGACTCTATTTGTTGAGCCAGGGTGTGTTTATTCTATGTGTTATATTTCTATGTTGGGGGTTCTAGTTTGTCATTTTCTATGTTGGCCTGAGTGACTCCCAATCAGAGGCAACGAGTGTCAGCTGTTTGCTGGTTGTCTCTGATTGGGAGCCATATTTAAACTGTCGGTTTTCCTTTGTGTTTTGTGGGTTCTTGTTTCGAGTTGGTTGTGTTTTACCGTGTACTGTCACGTTTACGTCTTTTGTTGTTTTTGATCACGTTTCGCTTTATAAATGAGTATGTTTGCCTGCAACGCTGCGCCTTGGTCTACTCCTTACCCTGACGGTCGTGACACATACATACGTGTTTGTAGAGTGCATGCTCTGGCTTGTGTGTGCCAGTGTGTGTGTCTCCTCCATAAGGTGTCGTTTTTTAAATCTGATTTTACTGCTTGCATGAGTTACTTGATGTGGAATAGAGTTATCTGTAGTCATGGCCCTGTGTAGTACTGTGCATTTCCCAGTTTGTTCTGGACTTGGGGACTGTGAAGAGACCCCTAGTGGCATGTCTTGTGGGGTACGCATGGGTGTCTGAATTGTGTGCTAGTCGTTTGAACAGACAGCTCGGTGTGTTCAACATGTCAATACCTCTCACAAAGATAAGTAGTGATGCAGTCAATCTCTCCACCACTTTGAGCCAGGATACATTAACATGCATCTTGTTGTTCTCTCCGTGTACATTTAAGCCCAGCCGTGCTGCTCTATTCTGGGCAACTGTAATTTGCCTATGTCCCTCTTTGTGGCACTTGATCATATAACTGGGCAGTAGTCCAGGTGTGACAAAACTAGGGCCTGTAGGACTTGTTTTGTTGATGTCAATGTCAAGAAAGTAGATCAGCGCTTTATTATAGACAGAACTCTCCCCATTTTAGCTACCGTTGCATCAATGTTTTCACTTGCTGTGGAGGCCTGACGTGTATAGTGTTGAGTCCATCAGCATACATAGACACACAGGCTTTATTCAGTGCCAGTCGCAGGTCATTAGTAAAGATTGAAAAAAGTAAGAGGCTGCCCTGGGAAATGCCTGACTCTACCTGGATTATGTTGTAGAGGCTTCCATTAAAAAACACCCTCTGTGTTCTGTTAGATAACTCTCGATCCACGCTATAGCAGGGGATGTAAAGCCATAAAATATACGTTTTTCCAGCAGCAGATTATGATCGATAATGTCAAAAGCTGCACTGAAGTCTAACAAAACAGCTCCAACTATCTTCTTATCAATTTCTTTCAGCCAATCATCAGTTATTTGTGTAAGTGCCCTACATGTTGAGTGCCCTTCTCTATAAGCGTGCTGAAAATTGATACTTTGTTTACTGTGAAATAGCATTGTATCTGGTCAAACACCATTTCTTCCAAAGATTTACTAAGGGTTGGTAGCAGGCTGATTGGTCGGCTGTTTGAATCAGTAAAGGGTGCTTTGCTATTCTTGGGTAGCGCAATTACTTTAGCTTCCCTCCAGGCCTGAGAGCACACACTTTCCTGTATGCTTAGATTGAAGAGATGGCAAATAGGAGTGACAATATAGTCCGCTATCATCCTCAGTAATTTTCCATCCAAGTTGTCAGACTCAGGTGGCTTGTCATTGTTGATAGACAACAACAACAAAATCACCTATTTTATACTAACTTTACGGCATTCAAAATTACAATGCTTGTCATTCAGAATATGTTGTTTGCATGTCATGCCTACATTTGCTAATCTTGCTAATGAAAAACTCATTAAAGTAGTTGGCAATATCAGTGGGTTTTGTTATGAATGAACCATGTAATTAAATGAATGATGGAGCACAGTTCACCTTTTTGCCCAAAATCTCATTTAAGGTGCTCCAAAGCTTTTTTACTATCATTCTTTATGTAATTTATCTTTGTTTCATAGTACAGTTTCTTCTGTTTTTTGTTTAGTTTAGTCACATGATTTCTCAATTTACAGTACATTTGCCGATCAGCTGTGCAGCTAGACTTATTTGTCATTCATTTTGCCTCGTCCCTCTCAACTGTACAATTTTTCAATTCCTCATCAATCCATGGGGATTTAACCGTTTTTAAAGAAATGTTCTTAATGGGTGCATGCTTATTAGTAACTGGAATAAGCAATTTTATAAATGCGGAGTGGAAGGCTTTAGTTCCTTATTGCAAACAGGATGCATGTTTTGGAACATTGTTATTCTGTACAGGCTTCCTTCTTTTCACTTTGTCATTTAGGTTAGTATTGTGTTGTTGATCCATCCTCAGTTTTCTCCTATCGCAGCCGTTAAACTCTGTAACTGTTTTAAAGTCACCATTGGCCTCATGGTGAAATCCTTGAGTGGTTTCCTCTCCGGCAACTGAGTTAGGAAGGACGCCTGTATATTTGTATTGACTGCATATATTGATACACCATTCAAAGTGTAATTAATAAGTTCACTCAAAGGGGTATTCAATGTGCGCTTTTTTAAATTATTTTTTTACCCATCTACCAATAGGTGCCCTTCTTTGTAAGGCATTGGAAAACCTCCCTGGTCTTTGTGGTTGAATCTGTGTTTGAAATTCACTGCTCAACTAAGGGTCCATACAGATAATTGCATGTGTGGGGTACTGAGATGAGGTAGTAATTCAAAAATCATGTTAAACACTATTATTGCACTCAGTCCATGCAACTTATTATGTGACTTGTTATGCACATTTTTCCTCCTTAACTTACTTAGGCTTGCCATTACAAAGGGGTTGAATACTTATTGACTCGAGACATTTCAGCTTTTCATTTTTAATTCATTTCTAAAAACAAAATTCCACTTTGACATTATGGGGTATTGTTTGTAGGCCAGTGACAAAACAAATCTCAATTGAATCAATTTTAAATTCAGGTTGTAACACAACAAAATGTGGAAAAAGTCAAGGGGTGTGAATAGTTTCTGAAGGACACTGTAAAAACCATCTGAATAAACCGAAACCCCTGATGTGTGCATTTGAATATGTGTTTGCATATGAATATGAGTGAATATCATCAGCTAAGCTCCCTCCTCTTTCAGACTGAGGGGGCTACTGAGGAAGCGTTTGGGCGAGCTGAGGTCTCCAAATCACCAGTTGTCATCGTTCTGGAGCCAGATTCCCTCCATCAGCACATTGCTGTGCTCTCCAGAGAATTGCCAGTTGGCTTTGTAGCGCTGGTCCCCTGTGCCCTCCCCGAGGTCCCAAAGCTCTATAGACAGTCTCTCCTCGGGCATATCCAAGAAGTCCATTAGGTCAGAGGTCATGCCCATTATCTGGAGGTCAAAGGTCCTCGGTGTGACAGTGGAGGCTAAGTACTGGGCCAGGCAGGGGCTGAGACGGTTGGCTCGTGAAGTCAGCTGAGGCTGGCCTTGCCCAGTGCTGCCCCACAGGCCTGTCAGGTTCTTCATAACCTCCAGACGACAAGGTTCTTCAGCTCTATAGAATACAAACACAGCCTGACATAACACCTTGTTCCTGGCCTGGTTCCATACTGTACTGGTATGTACTATAGCCAACTCGTCTATCATTGTACAGTATGGGACCTACCTTTGTTTCTAGTCTTCAAGGGAAATCAGAACTATTGAATTCTATTGGGTCATTAAATTAACAAATCATACAAATCCCATAATACAGTATTAGCTGTAATGATATTTACCTAGTGTTGTTCCAGGTGTCTCCTGTGGACTGACCAGGCTTGAGCTGGGCCAGATCTCCAGAGATGTCCTTCTTGGCTGCTCTCATGCACCCCCTGCTGCCAGACACCTTATCCAACTCATCGGCTGGCCTTTTCCTCTGTCGCTGCTGCTTCTGTCGTAGTGGGCTGGGGTCCTTGGAGGCCCTGATCCTGGGAACCAGTTCAGGCCTCTTGGGCTGGCTCACCTTCTTCTGTTCCGCAATAAAACTATCCTTCAGCCTCTTCCAAGAAAGGTACGAGGATACCTGACTGGCTTTGGCACCGGCCTCCACATGCTGCACAGCACTCTGGGACAGCTGGGTCAACTTGGGGCATGACAGTTTAGGCCTCTTGAGCTGGCTCACTTCCTGATTGACAGGAGGACTATCCTTCAACCAAGGAATGTAAAGATTCCTTGCCTTCAACTGCTCCACTGTCAGGGGGCAGGAAAGGTCATGACTGGCATTGGCCTCCACATGCTGTACAGCACTCTGGGACAGCTCAATCAGCACGGGACTACACAAAGCCTTCTGAGATGAGCCTGGAAAATCAACCCTTCTCAGGATCATCCTGATTGCTGAGGGATTTGTGGGGTGGACACACAGGATGGACTCCCATACCTGAAAAGTGTGTTTTGAGTTAACAAGTCTAATTTACACTGTTTCTAAATACATGGACATCATGATTTGAAAGGCTCTGGGAATCTTTTCTACACTAGTAAGGATGGCTTTCGTAGGCCTACAGGACAAACCTGTCGAATTGTTGACAAAAAAATAATTATTAGAGTTACCTCATAACAGAAAACCTGTCAACAACTGAAAAAAGAACAAGTACATTTGCCTACTCACCTTGCCCATTTTTGAATTCCTTTGTTGAGATGTTTGGATAAATCTTAGTTTGCTCTGATTGGAAGTCCGCGATGAAAGATCCTGTTTGAAGTTTTATCCAAGTGATAGCCTATCGAATTTGTTATTTGTTGGAGCTTATCTACCTACAGATTCTGGAACGAAACGTCATAATAAATGAGCGCATGTAATATTGTTGTTGCCACGTGCACCTCATAAACATTATTGGTCTCAACCTTCGCGAGAGTTTTCTAATATTTCTACCTTTGCAGTTATCCCAATGTGATATCATTAAAATCTTCCCTAAGTAAATCATATCAAAGAACACACATTTTTTTTTGGCACGATGTGCGTTACTCTCGTCTTCACAGATGCAATATTCATTGGTCAATTGTTTGGTAATGGGGTTGTGGTTTATGTATCCATATATTAAGCTATCGATAATTCCCATTCAAAAGAAACACGCACACACTGTACCAGCCAACCCCTTTTAGATGACATTTGCATACAAATTAATGTTTAAATGAGCTCAATAGCATAATTGACATGCAATTAGCAATATTATGAGAATCTAATGCTGTTCCAGTGGCCAGCGCAAACTAAAAATTAACATGGCCTAATTAACATATTAATGAACTAATTATTTGTAATTTAACTGGAATGGCAGGCAAAGCCAACATGTCATGATCTTACAGCATTACATCACATTTCTATTCAACATGAATTGTTTCGGATGTAAATCTTACATCACTGCTGCAGAACACGATTTAAATGTAGACTGATTAGTACTGTCGAATGCTCCATGGTAAAGCGACGGGTCTATGAGCACAACACGTTGAAAATATGTATTTTTTTGGTTGTTGCTGTAAAGATATTGAAAAGCAGCTTTTAAACTCCTTTCCATCACACTCCGTTCTGCGCTGTCTTCTCAACCTCGTTCCACCCCATGCCGGATCTTACAATTTAGTCATTTAGCAGACGCTCTTATCCAGAGCGACTTACATGAGCAATTAGGGTTAAGTGCCTTGCTTAAGGGCACATCGACAGATTTTTCACCTAGTCGGCTCGGGGATTAGAACCAACGACTTTTCGGTTACTGGCACAACGCTCTTACCCACTAAGCTACCTGCCGCCCTCATCTTCTGGTGTTTACTTCAGGCTCATGCCTCCAGATGTTTTGTGGGCTGATTATACACCGATTATATTACACCGATTCTAGCATGACTTTAATACAGGAGCTATGCTAGAAATGAAATATTAGAACACACAAGACCATTTGGAAAAAAAATAGTTTATTGAATTGGTCAATCTTTTAGGTTGCCTTCCTCTCTTTTCGGATTCAGTGAGGACAGCAGTCCATCTTATCTTGATCAAACTCTCCCACAAGCCAAGATAAGGAGGAAAAATCTTTTGACTTATCTGAAATGGCACTTTCCATGCAATGACAGGGGGTGCCTCCACTAAGAGGGAACACAAAATGACATCACCCAGGTAACAAAACAGCATGATGAAAACAACTGTGGTCAGAGATTCCCCCTTATTGATGGGCCTGGGCCCGGTTTCCTAAAAGCATATTAAGGCTAAATTCATTGTTAGAACTTAGCCTTACGATGCTTTTGGGTAACCAGGAAACCATCTCAAATAGACAGTATGCTCATCTTCTCTCCACCATGGCTCTATTAGCTCGGTCTGGCTATTTACAGTTTATCTGGCCTCATCTCAGCCTGCACAAAGGAGGGAGAGGAGGAGTAATGAAAAGGAATGTCAGTCGTTGTATTTGTCATGATATTGCTGTAAAGGGGAGAGTGGATGTTGGGTCTGGGACGGGGGTGGTGGTGGTGTGGGGGGTTATTGTACAGGAGCATCAGTCACATTTAGGGGGGGGAGGCAGGGGGCTTGGTTATTTGTTATTTGTCAGAGGGGGTGATGTGATGGATGACTAACCCCCCCCCCCCATTCCCCAGCCCTCAGCTCTACAGGCCACTCCACCGAGGCCAGGGTGGGATGTGACCTCATCCTCTCTCCTTTCCTCCTCAGTCACATAAAACCCCAGGGCTCGATGTCCACGTCAAAGCTTCTTCACCTTCTTGATGGACGAGGAACTGGAAGCAGACTCTCTGCGTTTACGCTGTAATGACAAAGAATGCATCAAACGCTGTCAGCCATTGGTCCAGAACATATCTGCATCATTTCACATGCAACTATGAGAGAATACTAAGGACAGTCAGTGCTCATTGGAACACTGCCTAAATGTATTCTCTTTGACAATTTTATATTCAGCTAACTCCTGTTAGACAGCCAGGCTGTATTCATTAGGGTACACTATATCAAAACGTGTAGCAACGGACAATGAAAACAGGCATTTCTCATCGGACAAGCTCCGGTAGTCCCTCCTTGTTTATATCAGTTTTATTCCGTATGGTGGGGTAGGGAAAGATGGAGTTAGAAACTCACAGGAAGTATCCCTCATAGCACTTTGAGGCCCTGATGAAGGTTGTGTGAAACCGCAATGCATTGGCAGTAACCAAATTGTTTGCCTTGTTTTACTATTCCTACATGGATATGCAAACTCAAAGGCTTTGTAACTCCACTACCTGGTAGGAGTGCCTTGGTATTTTTGGGATGGTCTATATCTTACAAGTTTAGCCAATTTTTTCATCAATACTTTCTGAGGTCTGTTTGCTCTATTGAGATTGGCATGGTAGATGTTATTACTATAGCTTGTGTGTGAAAGGGCCTTGGTTTGCTTTCCGTAACATTTAGTCCTAGGATATGGTGGTGGTAGGTGGTATGACTAACTGTGCACTCACCCACTTCCCGCTCCGTCAGAATCTGCTCAACAGCCTTGATCTTCTGGCCTACCGAGCTCGGCAGCTTCATCTGTAACACACACACAATAATAAGTCAGGGGTGTCAGGAATATGGGGATAAACGTCCTCACCTCTGGCGGTTTAGTCGTATGAAATGCACTTCAGCGGGGCCGATCAAAATGTATTTATCCGCCCGAGTCTATCTGACAGATTATCTGAGGAGAACTCCACTCCTTTAGCCCTAATGCATTTTGCATAGAGAGTAACGGCTCCCCATCAGTCTTTTAGATGAATAAGCTCTGCTGCTACGTCTTACAGATATTAGGGCGCCACTAATGGCATAAATCATGGTTTTTGCTAATGAGAGCTAGGAATGTGTCCCACCTCCCAAATTGCACCCTATTCCCTATGAAGTTCACTACTTTTGTCCAGAACCCTATGGGCCCTGGTCAAAAGTAGTGCACTACATAGGAAATAGGGTATTATTTGGGACTTAGAGCCAGGTCTAACATGCTCCAGCCACTCTCAGCATACATCACAAGCTATGAGACTTAAAGTAAAGTAAATGGATCTTTTGGACCCTTATAAAATGGAACGCTGGTGGAGAGTTTTCCAAAACCATCTCAAATTGATTTGAGAGGAGTGCTTTATATGTGCCTTTTGTGAAGTTGAGGTCCTAGGATGATATTTTGGGGGGGAACAATCTAAGCAAAATCCATATACAAATCATATGTGACTGATAGTGTTAGTGAACGGCCATGCTTACCCTCTGGCTGCGCAGTGTGACTCCAGCTGATTTGAAGTCGGGGAATTTGATGCCTGCCATCTCAGGAACAGCCTGTTGTGGACAGGCGAAGACAGTAGAGAGGTGAGCACAGAGACAAGACAGACTTAACACAACCTTTTATATGGAAAACTCACTTGAAATCACAAGCACACACACACAGTCTCTCATTTCAGTGGGAGCTTCTTCTTGGTGGCCTTGCACTCTACGCGTGTCATCTCTGTGTTGGTGTCGGTGGCTGTGATGAGCTACTGCAGGTCCTGGACCTTCTTCTCACGCTCCTTCTTCCTGCTCTCAATCTTCCGCAGCTCCTGCATCAGATACTCCTCTTCTTCCACCTGCAGGGCAAAACGGGGAAGTGCAACGTGAGTGCTGGGTCATGTTCATCAGGACAAAAATTAACAATGAACTGAAACTATCTGAACTTGTCCACTAAGAAAGACAATTTTGGTTTTCCGTTGCAAAAAGTTTTGCCCTAATGAATACGACCATGGACTATAACAAAGCATTAAAATGTTGGATCCAAACTGGGGAATCGAGACAAGAAGCTCAAAAAGGCATATCATAAGAACAAGGGGTGAAAGAAGCTGCACCTTCAAAACACTAACAGTGGAATTGTCTTAATAACAATAGATTTATTTTGAATAGTAGTTTTTAGTGCCTTTTTTTTTTAAATTTTATTATCAGGCAGATTCATGGGATATGGTCTTCCACAGCTGGATGATGATGCAGTTCATTAAAGGAGTAGTTTAAGTGGAGGTGGTGTCGATGGTCCAGCCAGGGAGGGAGAAACATCAGCCAGACAGGCAGGCCCGGAGCATTTCATCAGGCACCTCTGTCTCTGAAGTTCACAGCTACTCCTCTGTAGGCATGCTTAGGGGCGGTGCTGCTAACCTGATCAGGCGTGCGGTTGAATGGTCTCTCCAACTGCTCTTTTCTGCGCCTCTCGTGACCCGCATCAAATATGTAGATCTTGGGCTCTGTCCATGTTGCAGCCCGGACCTTGGTCTGCATGCGCAAATGTTGTTGTAACGTTCCTTCAAGTCCTCCGTTGAACGTTTCTGAAAGCACAAATACCGGAATGTTTAGGGGACATATATTATAATAGGAAGACATTGTATTTCATGAAGTATCACATTCCAAAATGTGCTTTTAAAAATGCCACTATTCAAATCGAAATGTTTTGAAATGTTTTAATCCTTCATGACTGGAATGTGATTTGTGGATTCAAATGAAGTATTTAAAATGTGTGTGTGTGTAATGTCAGTCATAGATAGCTTCCTCACTCTGTGTTGCTGACGGTTGTAGCGGTTGTGTATCTCCAGCCGTCGTCATGGAGATACATTTGGTATTGCTGCTCCGAGTACACTGGCACCTGCACCACCTAGAGAGGGGGAGAGAGCAAGAGGGAAAGAGGGCGAGAAAGAGATGGGGGGGGGGGGGGGGGGGGGAAAGAGAGATGGAGTGTGTGAGACCAACAGTAATGGAGAGAACAATATAAAAATAAAGACAGCCAGACAGAGACAAAGAGTGAGAATGACGGCGGAGAGAGAAAAAACAACTATATTTACCTTGTTGAAGCAGGCGAAGGGGTAGTCCTTGCCCTCCTCTGCCATGCATCTCCAGTGGTAGAAGATGGCTCCGTCTCAGCGGGCAGTGTTGGCGGAGGGCATCCATTTCCAGGGTCGTACCCACTTACAGCCCAGCTTGACCTTCACTGTCCGGTAGCCCTGAGTGGTGTCGCTGGGCAGCAGGGGCGGAGCATCTCTGCTGAGAGACAGGTGGTGGTCAGTATACTTTAATTAAATGACAAGCCGAATTAATGCAGTGATAAATGAATAAAACATTTAAAACACAAGTAAATCAAATTTTATGACCAATCAGCGTTCAAGTACTAAGCTAGGTTAATGTTCAAACCAAGAGGCAGGCCAGCTGGAAACAGGGGAAGTTTAAACAACTAAAAACAGATATAAAGTATGGAGAAAAGATAATGGGTTTTTTTTAAAGATGTTTTTAAATAAGATCATCTTTGAGAACTAACAATCATCAAAATATAAACTGGTCAGTGAGAATCTAAAATTCAAAAAATGATGCATTTAGGAGTATTTTTGTCATGAAATGGGCCCCCCATTGATTTTGTTATGTTTGAGTCACTCAGATAGCATAAGCCATGGCAAAATGTGTAGAATCTAGGATTATGGTGGCCATTTTACGGGCTACTGACCAATTGTGCCATTTTGTGTATTTTTTTTGCACTGATCTTAACTTTTTTGGTACATAATGTTTCCGCCATCGTTTCCTGTGACTGAAGAGAGCTTTTGGACATCAGAACAGCTATCACTATCCTCCATTTGGACGAGGACTACTTCAATGAGTCGGAGGCGAAATACATATTTATTATCGCGGATCAGGCCCAAATCCCTGACACTCGTAGAAGGAGACGCTGCTAGAGGCTGGCGTGCGGGATACATAACAAGACTATGTCGTAGAGTGGATAAATCGCCTCTACCCTCCGTTCGATTGGCGATTGTGCAATCACTGGAGAATAAATTGGATGAGCTCCGTTCGAGACTATCCTATCAACGTGATCTGAAGGACTGTAATACAATATGTTTCTCCAAGGAGTGGCTGAACAAGGACATGGTAAATATAAATCTAGCTGTTTTTTCTATAAAATCGGCAGGACAGAACGGATGCATCGGGGAAGCTCAGAGGGGGGTCTCTTTGTTAACAACAACTGGTGCGCATTCTCTAATATTAAGGAAATCTCGAGGTTCTGCTCGCCTGAGTTAGATCTCAGCAAAATCTTTGAAATTGTTGCATGTTGCGTTTATATTTTTGTTCAGTATATCTTTTTCGTAGCTGTCTGGCACTAAGCCCGCACTCAATGAGCTGTATAGGGCCATAAGCAAACAAGACAATGCTCACCCTGAGGTGACTTTAATGCAGGAAAACAAATCCGTTTTACCTCATTTCTACCAGCATGTTTCAACACCAGTGTGCCCTCCAAGCTCATCACTAAGCTAAGGACCCTGGGCCTAAACACCTCCCTCTGCAACTAGATCCTGGATTTCCTGACAGGACCCCGCTGCCACGCCCACCACCTAAGCCCCATTTTGGTCCAGAAAAAAACCCTCCAAATAGGACACATTCATTTATTCCACATAAGCCACCATTGACAGGCAGGTCCTTAGTAAGTTTTGATATCAGGGCATCGTACCTTATCGGAGTTGATGAAATCCTTCTTACTGATCAGCCCATCATTGTCCCCTCCGGCCAACTCCAGAATATCTCTCACATCATGGCACCAGTTGCCATGATGATGTGTACTGTAAAGAAGAGTTCCTTAGTTTAAAAGTGTACGTTATCACCTCACCTGATTGCTCGCATAACTTGCAAGCTACTTGCTTGGCTAGACATGACAAGCAGAGGTTGAGAGAATGCCAAGAGTGTGCAAAGCTGTCATCAAGGCAAAGGGTGGCTACTTTGAAGAATCTCAAATATATATTTTTGCTTACATGATTCCATATGTGTTATTTCATAGTTTTGATGTCTTCACTATTATTCTACAATGTAGAAAATAGTACAAATAAAGAAAAACCCTTGAATGAGTAGGTGTCCAAACTTTTGACTGGTAGTGTATATATGACAAAATATCTTTAAAAATCCACACACTCACACACCCCTAGAGTACATGCAGTATGCGCAAGTCAATGGAGACTGGAGAGTGAGTCATTTTACAGCATTTTCCCTCTTTCTCAGATCTTAAACATGTTCAGATGTTAAAGGGATACTTTTGACAATGAGGCCCTCTATCTACTACCCCAGAGTCAGATGAACTCGTGGATACCTCGTTGCCAAAATCCCGAAGTAACCCTTTAATAATTTTTGGTATACATAGATAGACACATATAAATATAAAAACAATATAAACTCAGCAAAAAAAAAGAAACGTCCTCTCACTGTCAACTGTGTTTATTTTCAGCAAACTTAACATGTGTTAAGTTCCAAAAGGCTTCTTAGCAGCTTCTACCCCCAAGCCATAAAACTCCTGAACAGCAAATCATGCCTACCCTGACTATTTGCATTACCCCCCACCCCATCCCCCTATTTTACACTGCTGCTACTCTGTTTATTATTTATGCATAGTCACTTTAACTCTACCTACATGTACATATTACCTTAATTACCTCGACTAACCGGTGCCCCCGCACATTGACTCTGTACCGGTACCCCCTGTATATAGCCTCCCTACTGTCATCTTATTTTACTGCTGCTCTTTAATTATTAGCAATTTTGTATTTTTTACTCATCTATTTTTGACTTAACACTTTTTTATTAAAAACGGCATTGTTGGTTAAGGGCTTGTAAGTCAGCATTTCACTGTAATGTCTACACCTGTTGTATTCGGCGCATGTGGCAAATAACATCCGGGGGGGGGGGGGGGGGGGGGGGGGGGTGTTCAAAATCAAAAGTAACAGTCAGTATCTGGTGTGGCCACCAGCTGCATTAAGTACTGCAGTGCATCTCCTCCTCATGGACTTCACCAGATTTGCCAGTTCTTGCTGTGAGATGTTACCCCACTCTTCCACCAAGGCACCTGCAAGTTCCCTGACATTTCTGGGGGGAATGGACCTAGCCCTCATCCACCGATCCAACAGGTCCCAGACATGCTCAATGGGATTGACATCCGGGCTCTTCGCTGGCCATGGCAGAACACTGACATTCCTGTCTTGCAGGAAGTCACGCACAGAACGAGCGGTATGGCTGGTGGCATTGTCATGCTAGAGGGTCATGTCAGGATAAGCCTGCAGGAAGGGTACCACATGAGGGAGGAGGATGTCTTCCCTGTAACGCACAGCGTTGAGATTGCCTGCAATGACAACAAGCTCAGTCCGATGATGCTGTGACACACCGCCCCAGACCATGACGGACCCTCCACCTCCAAATCGATCCCATTCCAGAGTACAGGCCTCGGTGTAACGCTCATTCCTTCGACGATAAACACGAATCCGACCATCACCCTTTGTGAGACAAAACCACGACTCGTCAGTGAAGAGCACTTTTTGCCAGTCCTGTCTGGTCCAGCGACGGTGGGTTTGTGCCCTACCTGTCTGTAAGCTGTTAGTGTCTTAACGACCGTTCCACAGGTGCATGTTCATTAATTGTTTATGGTTAATCGAATAAGCATGGGAAACAGTGTTTAAACCTTTTACAATGAAGATCTGTGAAGTTATATGGATTTTTACTAAATATCTTTGAAAGACAGGGTCCTGAAAAAGGGACGTTTCTTTTTTTGCTGCGTTTATAAATAAATCCACACTCACACACACCCCTAGAGTATATGCAGTATAAGCAAATTCAACGGAGTCATTTTATCATATTTTCTCTTTCTCAGATCTTAAACATGTTCAATCTTAATAATTGTCTGTACCAATAGGAATATAAATGTATATACCAAACATTAATATCTGAAAAATGTTAACATCTGAGAAAGAGAGAACTAAAATGTTTCTCTCTCCATTCTCCATTGACTTGTATTGGATGTACAAATACTGCATGTACTAGGGGTGTGTGTGTGTGAGAGAGTTTGTAATGTATTTCTATATACCAACAATTATTAATATCTTATCATTTTAACATGTATTCACGACTTGTTTCGTGAAATGTGTAAAAAAATAAAATAAAAAAAATACACTAAATACAGTACGATACAGAATTGGCTGTAGTAGTTCACAAACGACAATGAGTTGAATCATATAAACGACTTAGAACAGGTCAAATAACAATACTATATGCTTTTAAACAATGTAATTATTTAATGACTTTCAAATTCTCAAAATCCCAACTTTTATTGACACTGGAAGTATGATAGGCACTAATAACAAACAATCTTAATTTCAATGTGACCCGTGTAGACACGTTATGATGACTCCAAATTTCATGCATTTACACCAAACATAATTTATTCAGTGGTGTATTTTGATATTGTACTATATATAGTACAATGACTTGAATTAGTTAATTTATGTATTCAAATTGTGATTTAAAATTGAGTGTTTGGTGTATTTTAGCTATCTACACAAATCAAACGTTAGCTAGCCTTGTATCGATAGCTAGCTAGCTCTTCAGAAGCTAACGTTAGTTAGCCGGCATTAGCTAACGCGTTACCACGTTAGAGACAGCTAGTAACATAGGTAGCTAGCTATGGAATACATAGCTATTTTTCATCATATCGTTTTTACGTTTACCTGTCGGTGAATCCACGCATCTGTTTTTGTCGTTTTGTCGAAGTAAATATTCTGCGGGAGTAATTATGAACTGGCTAACTATCTAGCTGCCCGGCTAACAACAAGCCAGAGAGGAATAGGCGACGCGAGATGGTCCATGTGGGAATACAGCGATAAGCAGACCGAGGATAAACAACCGCCAGCCTTACCTTCTTTGGGATGACACGACTCCCATTGCTAGGGCGGAAGCTTCTGCTGTTCTTCTTCTGTGGATTTTTAAATGGCGGTTGGCAACCAACTTTAAAGTGCAATACCGCCACCAACTGGACTGGATTGTGGACCAGAGACAGTGACGTTCTAAATCCTACCCAATAATCCCGTCTCCCTAAGGAAACAAAATATAAACTCAGCAAAAAAAGAAACGTCCCTTTTTCAGGACCCTGTCTTTCAAAGATAATTTGTAGAAATCCAAACAACTTCACAGATCTTAATTGTAAAGGGTTTAAACACTGTTTCCCATGCTTGTTCAATTAACCATAAACAAATAATGAACATGCACTTGTCGAATGGTCGTTAAGACGCTAACAGCTTACAGATGGTAGGCAATTAAGGTCACAGTTATGAAAACGTAGGACACTAAAGAGGCCTTTCTACTGACTCTGAAAAACACCAAAAGAAAGATGCCCAGGGTCCCTGCTCATCTGCGTGAACATGCCTTAGGCATGCTGCAAGGAGGCATGAGGACTGAAGATGTGGCTAGGGCAATAAATTGCAATGTCCGTACTGTGAGATGCCTAAGACAGTGCTACAGGGAGACAGGACAGACAGCTGATCGTCCTCGCAGTGGCAGACCACGTGTAACAACACCCACACAGGATCAGTACATTCGAACATCACACCTGCGTGACAGGTACAGGATGGCAACAACAACTGCCTGAGTTACACCAGAAACCCACAATCCCTCCATCAGTGCTCAGACTGTCCACAATAGGCTGAGAGAGGCTGGACTGAGGGCTTGTAGGCCTCTTGTAAGGCAGGTCCTCACCAGACATCACCGGCAACAACGTCGCCTATGGGCACAAACCCACCGTCGCTGGACCAGACAGGACTGGCAAAAAGTGCTCTTCACTGACGAGTCACGGTTTTGTCTCACCAGGGGTGATGGTCGGATTCGCGTTTATCGTCGAAGGAATGAGCGTTACACAGAGGCCTGTACTCTGGAATGGGATTGATTTGGATGTGGAGGGTCCGTCATGGTCTGGGGCGGTGTGTCACAGCATCATCGGACTGAGCTTGTTGTCATTGCAGACAATCTCAACGCTGTGCGTTACAGGGAAGACATCCTTCTCCCTCATGTGGTACCCTTCCTGCAGGCTTGACCTTGACATGACCCTCCAGCATGACAATACCACCAGCCATACTGTTCGTTCTGTGCGTGATTTCCTGCAAGACAGGAATGTCAGTGTTCTGCCATGGCCAGCGAAGTGCCACGTCTGGGACCTGTTGGATCGGAGGGTGAGGGCTAGGTCCATTCCCCCCAGAAATGTCAGGGAACTTGCAGGTGCCTTGGTGGAAGAGTGGGGTAACATCTCACAGCAAGAACTGGCAAATCTGGTGAAGTCCATGAGGAGAAGATGCACTGCAGTACTTAATGCAGCTGGTGGCCACACCAGATACTGACTGTTACTTTTGATTTTGACCCCCCTTTGTTCACGGACACATTATTCCATTTCTGTTAGTCACATGTCTGTGGAACTTGTTCAGTTTATGTTTGTTGTTGAATCTTGTTATGTTCATACAAATATTTACACATGTTAAGTCTGCTGAAAATAAACGCAGTTGACAGTGAGAGGACGTTTCTTTTTTTGCTGAGTTTGTAATTAAATACTACATCCCCTGAAGATTTCCCCAGCAGTTCACTGAATCCTGGCTCTTCAACCCCATTACTCCTCAAATCTAATAACAATCGCTCCCTTTCTGGCACTGAAATAGAAAATGTTCCACGGTCTCCATCTTCTCCTGACAATGATCACACCTCCCAGTCAGATGTTTCCCCACCAATTTCAATGTACTATTTAGCCTTGTGTGTCCCAGTCTC